TAGAATTACAAATTCAACTGACATCTCAATATAACTTTTAAAATAAATTTCAAACAAAATTAACAAGGATTTTAAACCCAGCTATAAAGTGATCCAGCTAAAGACTTGAAAGAGGGTTGGGATAACTGGGTACGTAAGGCAACCAGTATTCACCCCAAGTATACGAGGCCCCAGTGTGATTTCAAAGCACTTACCTTCTCCACTTGGCCTAGGCTGGTTCCTCAGCTCAGGGACAATTGGATCTCCACATGCTCCCCCAAGCCAAGCCCCTTCACTCCTGGCACACTGCCTGTCCCAGTAGGACTCCTGCCCCTTCCAGGAGGAAGTGGGCAATCTGTCAGGACCTTCAGTAGGGGAGGCAGCAGGGGACTTGAAGTCCAAGAGGAAGCTATCTTGTAGGGTTTGCTTGGTGGCCTTCTTGTATTTCCCCTTCTGACTCTCTGGGATCTTGTCACTCTCTCCTCGCCTGGGCTGGCCACTCTCAAGCTGCCTGGTTAGCTGGAGGAGCTGATCCACGTCTTTGGTGAATTCTAGCAGAGTGCCCTCAGAGAGGCTTTGGGCAGTGCCCTCAGAGCCATAGCTGGGAGCCTTCTCCAAGAGCAGGTGCTCAGAGCAGTGGAGAGCTCCCGGGCCCTCCCTGTGCACTGACTCGGGCACCTTGGGGTGGCGGCAGGGACCCATGGACAGGGAGAAGTAAGAGTAATCCACCATGATGTATGTCAGCATGAAGTTGATGGTGACGATGGGGGCCAGAACATTCACCTGACCCACAAGGACAAAGGCCATGGTCACCAAGCCGGTCAGGCAGATGGCAGCTACGGGTGTTTTATTTGGCCCTTTCTGCAGAAACAAAAATAACACGTAAGGCTATGAAATTTCAGAAGAAAATCACATTGTATGATAGAAACACAACTCATCATTGGCTCAGCCACTTCTCCCATGTGACTCTTGGTGTGTTAGTAATTGTCAGTCTACAAACCTGGGATAGTAATATCCAACTCATAGAATTATTGTGGGATCAGAGCTAATACATGTCAAATGCTTAACATGGCACTGTCACACAGTAGGCTCATAACAACACACCATGGGTATTGGTTGTATTAATAACTATTATTAATATGGGGCATTACACTAGAACTTGGACTTTCCAAGTAGTTCTTTCATCTTTCATTGGGTTTTAATACTAGCTTTGGAAATAGAAGCAGTGCAAAGTTGATTCTTCCCAGGCTACAGTGGAGAAAATGACCTTAAGGGGAGGGACAGACCCTGACAAACAGCAGAATCACTGGTGGCCGAGGCACGAGAATTCTGATACTAAACATACACACACGCACATGCTCACACACACACGTTTACACACGTCTGTTATTAGGGAGGTGGGTATGGTGCGCTACAGGAGGACAGCAGTAGGAAGTATGTGCTAACTCCATGTAATCTGTTACTCCACAGAAGCTATTCATCAGTCACCAACATAGCTCTTGAGCCAAAATCAATAGTCACTTTTCAGTCCTTGTCTTCCTTAACCTTAGAACTACATTTGACTCAGCTGATCGCTCCCTGGTTTTTGAAAGATTTTCTTCACCTATCTTCTCTTGATTCGTCTTCCTCCTCACCGACTGCTCCTTCTGTCTCTGCTGCTGCTCCTCCGCCTCTCTGAAGTCTACCTTTAAAGCAGCCCAGCCATCCTCAGACCCCTTCTCTCCTCTATCAATACTCCCTTCCTGGGGATCTCAACTAGGCTCATGGTTTTAGATACCCACTTTATGTTTTCAATTCCCAAATTTGAATCTCCAGCCTGAAACATTACTCTGAAATCCAAACTTAAATATTCAGCTGTCTACTCAACATTTCCAGTTGATGTCTAATAGGATCTCAAACCTAATATAGCCAAAATCAAACTGCTGATCCCCCAATCTCCCACCCCTCAAATCTACTCCTTCTGCAGTCTTCTTCATCTCAGAAAATTTTGCTCAGTCAAGCAAAATTCCTGATGCTTCTTCTTATTTTCTCATTCTCCATCAGTATGTATTGTAAGAGCTTACCCTCAGGAAATACACAGGATCTAACCACTGCTCCCACCTTCTTTACTGCCAGCACCCTGGATATAAGGGGGAGGTGTATAAGCCACCTCCAGATCTGACCTGTAAACTTCCCACGTGTTCCTCCAGGTGTGTTCCCCTTTCTGAGAATAGAGAACAGCTGGAATAGAGAACAGCCCTCACAGGATGAAGACGGCAACGTCATCTCCAGCCTGAGTCTCTAAGGATCAGAGTCCCTACTGACCTGAAATACCTCCCCGAGAACTTCAGAGTCAAATTCTAAAATAAAACAACAAAATAAAAAAGTAATAGGCTTTTTTTTTTTTGAGAATTATGTTTTTGGTACAGCTACATCTGTTCAGCATACTCTAATAATAAAGCTATTAAAAATAAAGTAAATCCTCGGGCCGGCCGAGTGGCGCGATGGTTAAGAACTCGCTTGGGATGCCAGAGGGCCCCGGTTCGGATCCCACATGTGAGGGCCAGTGACACTGCCCTCCGCAGCTGGGATGCTGAACAACAGCTCAACCTGGAGCTGGGCTGCCGTGAGTCGCCGGCGACGGGGTGGGCTGCAGTCCCTGTGGCAGTGGGTTGCCATGGGCTACCGTGTGTGGCCAGCAGCCAGCGTGAGCGGCCAGCAGCCGCAGTGAGCGGCCGTCCAGAAGCCGGCGACTGATCTGCCTCGCCAGAGAAGAGCGCAATGATGGTGCCAACTTGGGCCAGTGAAGCAACATCCTCCACAACTAGACTGAAGAACAAAACGACAGCAACTTGTCTGTTCCCCTTCCCCCAATTCCCCAGCACTGTTCCAATTCCCCAATAAAAATCTTTAAAAAAAAAAAAAAAGAATAAAGTAAATCCTCAAAAACTAACAAGAACTTAAAAGCAGGGTTTTAGTTATGCTGAAGGAAATGCTAGCGATCCAGACCTGGATTTTGATGAAGGTGCCTTGACAAAATAGTCAAATAAGAAATTCGGTTTGAAATAGAAAATATAATCCTAAAATGTATATGGAACCATAAAAGACCCTGAATAGCCACAGCAATCTTGAGAAATAAGAACAAAGTCGGGGGTATCATGCTACCAGACATCAAACATACTACAAGCCTACAGTAATCAAAACAGTATGCTACTGGCATAAAAACAGGCACATAGATCAATGGAACAGAATAGAGAGCCCAGAAATAAATCCATTCATATACAGACAGTTAGCCTACGATCATGGAAGCAAGAATTTACATTGGGGTAAAGATAGTCTATTTAATAAATGGTGCTGGGAAAATTGGACTGACACATGCAACAAAATGAAACTGGACCACCTCCTTATGCCATATACAAGAACAAATTCAAAATGGATTAAAGACTTAAACAGAAGACCTGAAACCATAAAACTCCTAGAAGAAAATATAGGGAGTAAATTTGCAGACGTTACCCTGAGCAATATTTTTACTGATACATCCCCGCAGGTAAGAGAAGTAAAAGAAAAAATGAACATATGGGATTACATCAAACTTAAAAGTTTTTTCACAACAAAGTAAACCGTCAATAAAACAACAAAGAAGCCTACTGAGTGGGAGAAGATATTTGTCAATGATATATCTGATAAGGGGTTAATATCCAAAATTTATAAAACACACATGCAACTTAACACCAAAAAAACAAACAACCCAATTAAAAAATGGGCAGAGGATATGAAGAGATCTTTCTCTAAAGAGGACATGCAGATGGCCAATGGGCATATGAAAAACTGTTCAATCTCACTAATCATTAGGGAAATGCAAATTAAAATCACAATGAGATACCCCCTTACCCAGTCAGAATGGCTATCATCAATACATCAACAAACAACAAATGCTGGCAAGGTTGTGGGGAAAAGGGAACTCTGGTGCACTGTTGGTGGGACTGCAGACTGGTGCAGCTACTATGGAAATCAGTATGGAGGTATCTCAAAAAACTGGAAATGGAACTACCGTATTACCCAGCAATTCCACTCTTAGGTATTTATCGAGAAAAACCCAAAACACTAATTCGAAAAAATATATGCACCCCTATGTTCACTGCAGCACTATTTACAACAGCCAAGACTTGGAAACAATTGAAATGCCCATCGGTAGACGACTGGATTAAGAAACTGTGGTACATTTATACAATGGAGTATTACTCTGCTATAAAGAAGAAGGAAATCGTACCATTTGCAACGATATAGATGGACCTAGAGAACATTATGCTAAGTGAAATAAGTCAGTCAGAGAAAGACAAATACCATATGATCTCACTTATACGTGGAATCTAAAAAATTGAATAAATGAGAAATGTAAATAGAAACAGTCTCAGAGACACAGAGGAAAAACTGAGGGTTGCTAGTTGAGAGGGGGTAGGGATGAGGGAGAAAGGGAAGGGATGAGACAACATAAATTAGTAACTACAATATTGCCTCAGGGATAGAAAAGACAGTTTGGAGAATATAATCAATAATGTTGGAAATATTTTTGGGGGGCCAGATGGTCTCATGTCTTGTTAGGGAGACCACTTCATGGACGGTGTAGAGGCCTGACCACTGCACTGTACATCTGAAGCTGCCGTTGAATAATATTATATGTCAACTATAATTTAATACATATATAGTCATGGGATGTGGAGTATAGTGTGGGAATGGAGTCAATGGAATTGTAATAGATATGTATGATATCTGGAGTGGAGGGCAGTGGATAGGGGGAGGAGGGCTGTCACTTTGTGAGCGGTGAAAAGGATAACTATTGCATTGTTTTGTACACCTGAAACTAATAATAATAAAAATAAAGAAAGAACTTCTGTTCGCCAAAAGACACCATAAAGAAACAAAAACACAAGTCACAGAATGAGAAAAGATATACCTGACATACATACCTCACAAAGGGTAATGCAGAATACACACAAAAAAATCACTACACTATAATTAGAAGACAATCCACTAAAAAAAAAAAATGAGCAAAAGAATGCCTACTAAACATATTAAAGATGCCCAACCTCATTAAGTAATCAAGGAAATGCAAATTAAAGCCATAGAGAGATACCATTAAACACCCACCAGACTGGCAAAAAATTAAGTCTGATAATATTAAGTATTGGCAAGAACATAGAAAAATGAGGACACTTATCCACTGCCGATAGGAGTGTAAATTAGTACAATTACTCTGGGAAAAAAGACTTGAATGTTATCTAGTAAGTGGAAATATCCATCTTATAATTGAGCAATTGCACTAATGAGCATATAGTCTGGAAGAACTCTACATGTGCACCAGTCTACTGGTACAAGAGCGTTTGCTGCACTGCCTGTAACAGTTCCGAACTGGAATGACTCCAGTGCCCATCAACAGCCAAATGGATAAACTGTAGCAAATGAGGAAATGCTACACAGGGATGATAATAAACAAACTGCTGCTGCAAGCAAAAACATGGATGAATCTCATAAACATAATATTGAGTGAAAGAAGCATGCCACATTTATATCAAGTTTAAAAACAGGCAAAATTAAACTACTCTGTTTAGAGATGCATATGGAGTAAACCAGGAGCTGGAGCAAACTACAACCCCTGGGCCCAATCTGGCCACCATCTGTTTATGTACGCCCAAGAACTAAGAACGGTTTTACATTTTTAAACAGGTGAGGGAAAAAAATCAAAGGAAGAGTAATATTTTGTGACACATGAAAATTGCATGAAATTCAAATTTCAGTGTCAATAAATCAAGTTTTATTGGAACACAGCCACACTGATCCTATTACGTATTGTCTGTAACTACTTTTGAGTTGCAATGAGAGAGTTGCCCACAAAGCCTAAAATATTTACTATTTGGCCCTTTTCAGAAAACGTTTGCCAACTCCTGAGTGCAACTACAAAGGAAGTAAGGACTATTATCACAGAAGTCAGGACAATGGCTTCCACAGTGAGAGGGACGGGATTCTGACCAGACAGGGCGTGTTGGGGGTGGCATCTGGGGGCTGGCTGTGTTCTTGGGTGGAGGTTGCAAGGATGTACACTTCATAGTTATTTTTTTAACTGTTCATATTGGTTTTATGTCCTTTTCTGTATGTTGAACATATATCAGTTTTTTAAAAAAAGTTTCTTCTCTTCCCCATTAAAAAAGTGCTAATAAAATTTAATCACATGCAAAGAAGATTTGGGTTTCAAAGTTAAAAGGTGTGACAAACTAGAGAAAATACCTTTAATACCTATCGCAAAGAATCCATCTCCCTAACAAAGAAGGAGCTGCAGGAAATTGAGAAGAAAAAGACCAACAATCACAGAAAAACACCCAAATGAGTCTGAGAGGAAAAGATGTTCAACTTCATTCATAATAAGAGTACTACAAATCACAAATATCCTAAGATGCCATTTCTCACTATACAATTGCCAACAATTCACATTTGACAACGAGCTATGGACTGGCTCATTGTTGCCGCTGTGGTGCCTGAGGGAAGACGGTAAGTGTAAGTGTCGGTCCATGCACCCCGTGTCTAGCTATTTACAATTACAAACCAGCCTAACAAACCATTAAATCAAATGTGTTGTTTCCTCCTGTATTGGCAAACACATCTTCAGGGCAATGGGGAAGGTTGGTTTAGAATTCTCACACTCCTCAGAGTTCCTCAATGGAGGATAGCCATGCACAGCCTCCAGCTCACAGCTCACCCACCCCCTTGCCTTCCCAGACCACACAGGAAGGGACCAAGGACTAGAGCAGAGTCCAATAAAGCAGGGGCTTTTGGCCTGAGTCTAAGAGTGGTGCTGGCTGTGGGGAAACAGGAACCCTCATATATTACTGGTAGAAGTACGAAATGATATAAATCCCATGCAAAGTGTTTTAGCAATATCTACTAATATTAAAAATGCATTCACCCTTTGACCCAGCAAATCCACTCATGAAAATTTACCCTATGGATATATGTACACATGTACAAAATTACACACGCGCACACATTATTTGTAGCTCTGTTTACTGGAAGCAACACAAGTGTCAATCCATAGGGGATTGGTTAAACCAACTATGTACGTCTATCCATATGTTGGGAAAAGAACAAGAAAATTGTCTCTACATCCATATAAAAGGATAGATTTCTAAGCTATATAAAATGAAGAAAAGCAAGGTGTAGAACAATGTATGTAGAACACTATCTTTGTTTAAAAATAGAAGAGAGAAGGATTCATAAAAACTAACGCAAACTATGGCTGTAGCATGGGTGTTGGTGGGGAAAGAGATTAAAAAAGAGACTCATGCTAGGAGCAAAAATTCTCAGTGTAATACCTTTTATATTACTTTTAGTTTTGAACCTTGTGCATATATCACGTAATAAAAATAACTGAAATTAAAATAAAGTAAAAGGCATATACTACATGGAAAGTACAGAGGTGGTGGTCAGTGCTCCTACCGAGCCTACACTGGCTGATGGGTAAGACGTGGAGAAAGGTAAAAGCAGGAATGAAAAATGACTTGCAACTATGTGGCCCTAACTGAGGGGGGAGCTGGGAACAGGAAGGGGTTTGGAGAGGGCCTCCGTGGTGCTCCAAGACAGAAATGAACTTGCAAACTACATTCTTGGGAAGTGGGGTGCTCTCTATTTTTCTCTTATCCCCTCCATTTTAGGAATGTCTCCTTTGATTGTTCCATGGCTCAAACAAGCTACACTGTATCAGTAAGGGTTTGGGCCATGATGATTAACAGGGAGCCCAGAGGAAAAAGGTGTGGGAAATTATCATAAAGCAACCCCAAAGGGAAGGTGAGCTTGAGGTCAGAGTTAGAGCCACAAGGTCCAGCACCCGCCTCACCAAGAGATTCTTTCTTCTATGTTCACCTTGGAGCATCCTGAATTTATTGTTATTAAAGGAAGTGGCACTCCTTTTCCCTGCCACACAGGGTCCAAGATGCTACTGTAACAGTTAGCTAACCCAGTGCTATGGGGTCCTGGGGACTGTGGCATTGACTGACGCTTTGTCCAACTGGCCCAGCCTAAGGCAGCCAGAGGACAGGAGTGACAGAAATGAGCTCTGCATTTTTGTTTCTCCCTGCCCTGGAAACTTGACCAGTGGCTCTAATCAGAAAGACTTAATTTATTGACCAACAATCAGGCTCACTGCAAAATGTACATTTCTCGAAAAAAAAAAAGAAAAACGGTTACTCACCCCCTGTCCTAGACAGGCCAGTGTGGGAATCACTTTCTCCTGGGCGATGCACTGTAGGATCCGGGGGGCTCCATAGAGGCCCCCCATACAGGAGGCCAGGGATGAGATGTATAAGCCCAACAGGAACAGGAAGCCCACCAGGGACACCTGTGTGAGGAAGCAGTGTCATTACTCAGTGCCAGAATCTGCTTCTGTCCCTTTTTGTTCCCCTGGTACCCATCAGGCTGCACCCCATCTCATCACCAGTCCTCCAGACAACTTCTTGGACATATTTCCAACATCAGCCCCATCCCCCTTCGTTCTCACTGCCACCATTTCAGTTTGGCCCACCATCACATCTTGTATGGACTACACAGAGGTTCTCAAATTGAGTGTGCATCAAACTCATCGAGAAGGCTTGTTCAAACACAGATTTCTGGGTTCTACCTCAGAGTTTCTGACTCAGTGGGACTGGGGTGGGACCCAAGAGTTTGGGTCTCCAACAAGTCCCCAGGTAATGCTGATGCTGAAGGTCTGAGGACTGCGCTTTAAGAGCCACTGGCCGAGGGCCGGCCGAGTGGCTCAGTTGGTTATGAGCTCGCTCAAGAGTGCAAGCTCTGAGCAACAGGGTCGCCAGTTCGATTCCCGGCCCAAGCTGAGGTGCCGCTGAGCTGCCAACAGGTGGCAGGATGGCTCAGCTAAAACACAAAAAAAGAACCACTGACCAATGACAACGCTAACTGGCCTCCTGCCTCTAAGCTCTGCCCACACTGAATCATCGTCCAAGCCTCTGCCAGAGTGACCTCTCTAAACACAAATCTGATCATAATGCCCCTCCTGCAAAAATATCAGTGGCTCCCCACTGCCCTGACATATGAGGCCCTTCCGAGCCCTGCACCCTGCACACTCAGTCTTTGTCAGAGAAATCAGCATGATTTCTCTGCCTGCTGGAGCCCTCTGTCCACAACCCTCATCTACTCATTGTCTGTGTTCAACTCCCAGTTGTGCTTCCAGGCTCAGCACAAACTCCTCTCCTCCAGGAGGCCATCCACACGCAACACCCTCACAACAGTGGCTGTAACCTCGGGCCCTGCAGGACCTCAACGTCTTGTCTGCTGGTTTCATTTCCACAGGGCTCCTGTCTTCTTTATCCTAGTATACTTGGTGCCAACACAGAAGTATAAATGCTGAATGAATGAATGAGTGAATGAGTGAATGAATGAATGATTGAGATCCATGACTTATAGGGCTCACAAGGCACCAACAGATAGTATAAGAGAGGGCACAGTTGTTCTGCTTGGTGTCTACTTGCAAAAGATGAGTACTGCTGGCCATGCAGCTGTGTCACAGGCTGTCTGTCTACTGTGAGTCCACTTCACTCTCCTGAGCTGGACCTTATCTGTACTCACAGGGAAGTCTCTGTTTTCGTGATTATTTGAGGTGCCCTTCTTCATTTTACTTTACTTTAGGCACAGTTGCCGGAACTACGTATTCCAAGTGCTCATTCATCCAACTATGAAGATGGGTTAGATTTAATTTTCAGTTTTGTCACCTACTCCTTCTCCACGAAGACTCTCGTGACCCCATTTTTTCGCTTCCTTGTTTACAATGCACCATGTCAGTGCGACCTAGCAACACAGAACACCAGCCCCTGGCTAGACTTCTTTCCTGGTTCATAAACAATCACCAGAAACCTGCATCAGTGAGGGCTCTTGATTAGAAATATGTGTTTTAAAAATATATTTGTAGGACACTGGCGGTTCCCAGAATCATCAGGAGGCTGAAAGACCAAGAAAGGACCAGACCCGAGCCTGGAGGCCCACCTCGGCGCATGAACAGGAATGGGGTAGCCATGATGCTGCCCGCGCCCTGCTGCCCTATGGATGAATTCTCACCGTCCCTTTATACCTGCCTCATTCATTATATCCAGAGCATCCCATAGGCCTGACCCAGGTCACATGCCCTACCAGGGCCACAAAGGGACAGGCAAGCCAGGGTCTGGTCATTCTGGGCTTCTGTAATATTAAATGGGACTGGCTCCCTTCAAGACTACACATAGGTAGAATAACCCCTAAAAGTCAGGGAGACCAGAGGTTTGATGGCAATGACTAAGGTCCACTACACAGCCTCCCTTGTCCTTAATTCAGTGCGGATTACTTTTCCCTAAACGCGTTACTTCATCTTATCCCTTGTCAATCTCCCCGGTTGCTTCAACGTCACAGGTTTCCTGTGTTTGTCCCTCCTTCACCTTTTACTTACTTACCATTTCATTACAAGAAGAAATTAATGTCATCTACATCTCCCATCATTTTGTGTGCTCTGAGGGCATTTTCTTATCTTCTACCTTGGGACGTTTTATTATAACTCCATGGTGCAGTTAATTACGCTCCTGGCTTCTCTTGCCAGTACACCACACGCTCCTTAGGAGCATATCCGTGTCTCATGCATCTTGCCCCCTCCCTACTGCACCTAACAGAGTCTGGAAAAACTTTATCAGAAGCTCTATGAGACTCTAATTCAGTAGTTCTCCATTCTGGCTACACGTAAGGATCACCTGGCTTTCAAAAGCACCCCAGGTGATGCTAATGTGCAACAGGGTGGATGGAGGACCACCGGGCACAGCGCATTGTCTCCACCGTATCCTCCCGTCGGAGACGTCTCCAGATCAGTCAGGCATGGCATCTCCTAGCAGAAATGTCACTGCTTCTCATCCAAAAGGTTATATATATATAGTTTATATATATATATATAGTTTATATATATATATATAGTTTATATATATATATATATTTGTGTTTAAAATATTTTTTTTCATTTAAAGCCTATCTATTTACTCATGGTGGGAATAAAACTGCCCTTCTAATTTGATGTCTTGCTGGAATTGGGACTGACCTCAGGAACTTGATGAGTCTCTGGCACCAGGAGGTTAAGATACGGTGATGTCCAGCCGTGACCAGCCTTCCTACAACACACCCTGGGGTCCCTGCAGAACCCTTGGGCTGAGGTCAGAGGGGGGACTGTCCAGGTATTGTGACTTATTTATTTCCAGGTTGTCAATTGTGCTTACAATGGTCTGTTCACTTGCCAATCTTTTATATAAAACTACTTGTTATTCAGTTAATTTTCTGAAAAATAAATGAAATGTTGTTGGTCCTAAAGTCCAGATAAATTATAAAAATTCCACTCTATCTCTTTCCCACCTGACTAATGTCTCTTTCTTTCTACCTGCCATCCATCCATCCATCTGTCCAGGAGCATTTTCTGAGGACAGGTCATACACCTGGCACAGTGCTAGGCACAGGGCAAGACTTTACAGGCAAGGTAGTAGACTACACAGCTTTGCTTCCCACCCTTGAAGAAGTTAACCATTTTCTCTATTCATACGGAACTGTAAACTTGCTGACTGTGCCAGTGCAGGTAAAAGTGAGACTTTATTTGAGTAGGTGTTCTCCAACAACATCAACAACAACAACAAAAGAGTGCCCTTCTGTCATACAGCTACCTGTTCAAGCCATCACATAAAGCTCCCTATCTTTCCAAAATAGTGTCTGGGGTGTGAGTTACCCTAATTTCCTTTTACAGTAACTACTGAAGAAAATCATTAATTATATCTCTCTGCTGTTGGTATTTGATCCCAGCGCCCATCTGACCTTCGGTCCCACCCATCCACTGACAGCTCCCTTCTCTTGAAGGATTGAGTTTGAAGTCCTTTGTAAGGTGCTCATTCTGCCTTGTCTAATTTCTGTGGCCCCTTGACATTACTACAGAGTACATCCTGAAACCCTTACAACCCCAAACTTCATTAATGTGGCAATGTCTCAGTAGCCCCCTAGTTTTCTCTCACATCATATTTCCAGAGACCTGACTTTTCTAGTAATATCCTCACTCCACAAACTGACGAACATCTCAACTTTCAGTCACGTTTTCCCTCACGCTGAATAGCCATTTTCCATAAGGGAATCAAGTCAGTTTCCTTTCTGAGGGGCAGAGCGGTGTCCATGAGGGACAGCAGAGGACAGTCCAGCTGAGTGGGGGAGGCGTATGCTGAGCAGCTGGCTAGGCTCCCTCACCAACCACGAGCCCGGCCCCACCCCATCTTCCCATGGACAGCTTGCGAACATGTGAAACCATGTCTGTCACAGCCAAGAATGATAGGAGTTTACTCTGCGGGATGTATCCCATTTGTAACAAAGATGTTTTGGGGGGTAGTTTTCTTACTTAATCTGTTCTTACTTTGCTAGTTAGCAAGCCTCAGGGCTCCTAAAGGGCTTGGTCTTTTTGTCGTGTAAAAGCCACTGTATACGAGTTTATTCCGAAATAATAATTTAATCTATTTAATTTTACCCTTACTAATACTTGCTATTTATACAACTCCTTCTTGTATGACTGAATAAAATTGGGATTGACTTTTTAGCTTTTCTTATTCAGCTAAACATGATGCATTTGCAGGACAAAGAAAATGTGCCTCTTCCTAAAATATGTCCTATCTGTTAGGATATCCCCATAAGGAGGGTGTAGAGAGTAAAAATTTAAGAAGCACCTACTATGTACAATTAGGTATCATCTTTTACATTGATTACCTTAGAGCCACCACAATGCACTCAAGATTTTTTAGAAAGCATAACATCACTGAGACTGACATCTGAGAGCCAGGAAAAAGTTTCTGTGGGGTAGGGACATAAAGCAAGAAAGAAAATACTTAGACAAACTATGGGCTGGGAAGCCAAATAATTAGAAATACCTCAGAGAAGCTGCAGGAAACCCAGAAAAGAACAGATGAACTGCCCCGCTGCAGGTCAGGGGAAAGGAATCCAACACAGCCGGCAGCCAGTGAAGATAACTGTTCTGGCAGAGCCCGCTCAAGAGAAAGGGAGCGAGGTGCATGGAGGAGGTCTGTGAGAACCAGTGCCAAGAGGAGTAGGCTGGAGCCCGGGCCTAGTCTGTGCCCGAAAGGGCACACAGACCAGACCGAAGAGGCCTTCCTTCCTCAGGGCTAGGAGAGCTCAGAGATGGGCGGGCTCAGAGCGAAGGTCATAGCTACAACATGAAGCCAAACACATCAAGGTGGCAGGTTGTGTCCTGTGACCACATTGGACCGTGCCCTTATACCTCCCAACCTTTATCCGTCGCACCCTCCCATTCTCCGGATTACTGTCAATAACATTGTTTGTGGCCCAACTTACTGCCTGATTAGAGTTTCTGCTACTGCAACCCAGTCAGCCCCAAGGAGGGATGCCAGAGAACAGGAAAGGAGTAAAGCTGAGGTTTGAGGCCTTGGGGGGGAAATCCTGTGTGGTCCCCACCGTGGAGGGGGACATGGGGGCAGCACAGCAGGGCGCTGCTCTTTTGGAGTTGCCCTGGTTGGTTACTTGCTGCACCAGCCTGTTTGCTACCGAGAACCAAGAACAGTATCTTTACTTTCTTTATAAGCTTTACCACTCTTAATCCAGGAAACAGTCTCTCATTCTCTCCCAAAACTAACTCTCCACCTCTCATCCTTGTGTGTGCATAATGACATTCCCACATATGACTGCCAGGCATGGTTTAGCACGTGCCCCCAACCAGTTACGTACATGCCTACCTGTTTCACGGTCTGGGACAGGTGGCATTCCCAGCAAGCTTCCCCCGTGCATGTGTCTACTAGAATATTCATGGTGGAATGTCCACCCACACAGGCTTGCCGTGCTGCCCATGGAGATGTTTTCACTCTTGTGCTGCTGTGACCTTCCTTGCATACAGGCTGCCTGCCCTCCCACATACCCATTCTTAGCTTCCATGCAAAGCGGGGGGCGGGGGGGGAGCCCCAGCCCAAAGGACAATGTGCCTCCTTCCACCCAGATCAGTCTCTGATGGTTGAAAGACCGCTATGAGGGAATCCATTAGAAAGGAACCAGCCTTCAAGGCAGGCAGCTAGCTAGCCACTGGCAAGCCGCAGATAGCAGTTCCCCACGGTCAAAGGATCTGCTGCTCCCCGAGGCCTTCAATTCCTCTCAGGCGGCCAAGCTTTTCATTCCACAATTAGAGAAAAGGCCCCTGGGGGATGAAACTCAAGATGAAAGCCAGCACGGAGGCATAAATGAGGGCCATAGATTTCTTCCCTGAGAGCAAACCTTGCTCACTGGGGGTCTAAGACCTTGGGCCCTAGAAGGTGGGTGTCAGTGCTCTCACTCCCGGAACTGCTCCCCCTTTCGAAACCTGCCTTCATGGTAGTAAGGTCAAGACCCCTGAAAACAAACAGTACCTTCATGGCAGCGGCTACCTGGCTTAAAAATAAACTGTGCTAGCGTGTTAAACAAGCCCAAATGGAGCTCTAAGAAGTCCGTTAGAGCTTCCTGCCCCAGGTTGCCCCAAAGCAGTGGCCCCCTCCCCCCAAGAAGATCAGCAAGGCTGCTTTGCAAAGTCTCACACCAAGAGAAAAGGGTACTTTCTCCTGAAATCTGAACAGTGATACTCAGGAGTTAACTGAGTGAGAAAGCTTCTCTAATCTTCCACAGTTCTCTGATAAATGATGGAATCTCAGTGTTCACTTTCCCTCCAACTTAAGGGAAGGGAGGAGTTTGGGAGGATTTTCCAAAAAGTGTCTGGAAATCTTATTCTCCTGGGTTCCAAGGATGCCAGACGAGTGTTCTTGACCGTCACACGACCTCCCGCCTGCTAAGGGGCAGCTGTGGAACGCGAGGAATTTGCTAATCTTCTCAGGGCAGGAGGTACAGTGATAGAAACACAGATGTTACAGCCACATCTACCGGCCCACACTGTGCGGAGAGCCCAGAGATCAGGGTCCTCAGAAGACAAGGGGGCCCCCTACCTGCCTCCCCGGGTTCTCACCCTGGCAATGGGCTTCCTCCATCTCCCTCCACCTTGCTACCCTCCTGTCTGTCCATCAGTCTCCTTACCTGCTTGTGAGCAGCACACTCTGCTCCTAGTGGAAGGTGAGGCTATTGGCAAAAATGAAGGGCTGGTTGAGCTGGGGATTTCAGGTGAAAAGATTCTGTTTTTGTCCTGATTTTTTGTCTACTATTTAGTCACCTGGGTGCATGTGCCTTTCCAGGTGTTGTTACCTTTTTCTAGGGATCCTTAAGAAGAACCTGTACCTTTCCCATGTTTTTGCCCCCAACCCTTCCATTCTGAGCCCAAGATTATATGGATTCCCAGGCAGGGCTGCAAGAGGCAGGCAGCCATTTATCTATGGGAACAAATAAATGACCCAGCACACAGAGCACTTGGGTCAATGCAGGACTCACCCACCTTTTCAGCTATCAGGAAGTCATAGCGAAGGGCCTCGCGGGTGCAGATGGCGCCAAGCAGGAAGACAAAGACGATGTACAGAAACCACCTACAAAACACCCAAGAGCAGAGCAGAGTTCCCCCCTCCACGCCCCCACCTTGGCCAACCCCACCCCAACGCACCCCACTCCACCTTCAGGTTCCCACAGGGAACTTCCTCAAAGGGAAGAGAAAGGCTAGTCATGAACCTCCCTAGTTTGTCTGAGGGCGGGGGTCACTTTTCTGTACGATTTCTCCTTAGCATATTTCTTATCAAAAGGAAAGTTTTATTGTCTTGTCCCTTTTTTACAGTAAAGAAGAAAAACACACAAAGGGTGTTGGAAGTGGGGGAGGGAGAGGCCTAGCTGGCCTCCAGCTTGCCAGGATTCAGGCCAGGGTTGACTGGCAGTTCTCACCCCTTCATTCCATAGGAAGAACAAGTGGGCGATCCTTCAGGCCTCTAAGTCCTGCTGTTCTTTGACTCTCAGATGATAGAGAGCCAAGCCAAGTGTGAAACGGCCTGCAGCGACCTGGCTCTGCCCCCAGATGCCCTATGACCTTGAACAAGTCCCATGATCCTTGTGGCCTCATTCCCATCTGGGCAGCGAGAGGACGGGCCAAAGGTTCCTCCTGGGACCGCCTAGCTATGACCACAAATAAGGCGGGGTTCTTTCTTTCCTTTCCTTCCTAACTCCCAACCCTCTGTTGGCTTCAGTTTCTTAGCACAAAATAGACTGATGCTGGGTGGCTGGTGACGAGCAATGGCGCCATGACAGTAAGCTAAGAGCAAATTCAGCATTTGTGAAATACATATATTAATTTTTAAAATATATATTTTAAATTAATATATAGTTTTAAATATATTAATATTTGTATTAAATATAAAATATTATATTTAATAAAATATATTTTATTATATTTTAATAATACCCAATGAAGGCAGAGAAACTGCCCAGTGAAGGAAGAGACACCCACCCAAAGAAGGCAGAGAAACTTTTTCTCGTGGTACAGAAAGAAAAACAGGGGATTCTAGGAGGTCAGAAGCAGACCCAAGGCCACCTAGTCTGCTTGTGTGGGTGACACCATGTGATCTAAAACCCAGGAAGCCTGACATCTTTGGAGTAGTGAGAGGAGGCTAGCTAGCGGAAGGAGGACCAGTTTCTGAGTTCCTACTGTGTGCCTTTCCACAGGGTATCTCCTCCACAACCTACAGGGCCTACGTATGCTCATTGTCCCATTTTACAGAAAAGAAACAGGAGGCTCAGAGAGCTAAGATAATGGCCCAAAGTCACGCAGCCGATCAGCGGCAGAGCTGAGATGCAAATTCTAATCTGTCTGATCGTAAACCCCTTTATGCTCCCTCCAGTGATCCTGGAAACTCAATGGTTAAAAAAATCCCCAAATTCAAAATGGGGGTGGGGAAGGGGAGGGGCAGGAGGCAGGAGAATGGAAAGAAAGGATTCGATCTGTATTAGTAACCCTTTTCCTTGTATTCCCAGGCAGGGGCTATGAAAGGGCAACGGTCTGAACCCACCAGACTTGAATTTTCCAGCTGGCTGAATGTTAAAAGGAGGATTGGAATATGCAATAGATTGGTCACAGTTGGGGCATTCTCAGAACAAAGGGGGCAATCCCCTCTTCAGCCTGGAGTTTTCTCTCCCTCTCCAGCTGATTGCCACTGAGGGGAACTTACGAGATGCCAACAGCTGCTAGCGAGCCCAGGGGGATGCTGGCAGCGGGCTTCCTGAGGTCACCCCCCATGTTGAAGCCGGCCATGACTCCTGAAAGACATCCAGATGGAAAAGGGGTGAGCAGGGTGCTCCACAAATCACCTTCCCCTCCTCGGGGTCCCCTCCTGGAAGCTATCCCACGGCAAGCCCTCCCATCTGTAGCTCTGCAAACCACGCTTCTCAATCTCCCCTGACAACTGGAGAGGCATCCACAGGCATGAAAGGGACCTTTGTGGGTTGGATGATGCTGGGGAGGAAAGCCCAAAAGCATCTTATGGCCCAGTGCAAAGTAATGAGGGCAACGGAGGCATCTGGCAGGCTGCACAAAGGTCCCGAGGCTGCATAATGAGCTCTGCCTTCCACCAGTCAACACCCTAGGGAGGCTCAGCCTCAGCAAACCACCCACTGCTGCCTGCTCAGCAGAGTTCATTGCCTCTGCTGCCCACTGACTACAGTGGGGTTCTGGTGTCCTTGGGGAAGGTCCCACCCAACAGTCAGAGCCAGAGACCACATTCAAAGCTCCTGAGCTGCCAAAGGGCCCTAAACAAATTCCAAAGAACAATCCTGATGCTGCCAACACTGAGTCACGTCATCACTGCTATTCACCAAGAACACTCATGAAAGGTAATTAGTGATAATGGGGAGAGACAGCACAGTGCAGGATGGTGAGGACAGGATGTCACCTCTGCCCAGAGAGAGAGAGAGAGAGAGAGAGAGAGAGAGAGGCAACAAGCATGTGTTCTGCACATCAAATGCAGGTCCAGCCCACAAGAGCTCGACCAGCCCCGGTTAGGAAAGCCTCATAGAGAGTGGGTGCATCTCTCAAATGTGGCCTTGAAGGAAGATTTACATAGGCTTAGGAGGAGAAGTGGGTCTGACCCCATCATTACAGATTTATGAAACTTTCACCTGACAGGCCTGTGCCAAGTGCTCTGCGTGTGCTCTTTTTTACTTTGTTTAATCTTCACAAGAGTAAAATTATTTCCCCCATTTAATAGAAAAGGAAACTAGTTCTCAAAGAGGTTAATTAAAGTAGCCTAAGGGCACACACTTAGTAAGTGGCAAAAGTCATGATTCAACCCTGGTCTGTCTGACTCTGAAAATTATGCTCTTACTGCCTCTGCTCTAGTGCTTAAGGAAGCTCAAGTAAAGTAGAGTAAAGTGAAGGTTTAGGGCCAGAAAGTTCAAGTGGGGCTGTTTCAAAGAGTACCCTGAATGTTGGACCAAGACTGGGACCTGCATATACTTTGACCCAGCAAATCCACTACTGGGATTTTATCTTAATAGTCAACGGATAAGAGTAAAGATTTAGCCAAAAGTGTTTACATGAGGTGTGATCAAACAATATGGTGAATGTTTAAATTTTTAAAAAAATTATTGCAGTAAAAGACACACTGCCATTAATCCCCTTCGAAATACTCCCCCTCGCTTTGAACACACTTATCCTGTCATTCTTGCCACTTTTTGAAGCAGTTCTGGAAGTTGTCTTTCTTGAGTATCTTTAGTTGCGCTGTCGTGGCTGCCTCGATGTGCTGCATTAATTCAAAATGTTCCTTTTATGGTCATTTTGACTTTGGGGAAGAGCCAGAAGTCACACAGTGCCAGATCCAGTGAATAAGGTGGAATAATGTTTTTATTTGCCAGAAATTGCCATACCAGAAGCAATATGTGACATGGAGCGTTGTCATGATGGAGGATAAAGACACTCACGATAGAGGACTTCCAGAACTGCTTCAGAAAGTGGCAAGAACGATGGGATAAGTGTGTTTGAAGCAAGGGGGAGTATTCTGAGGGGGGACTAATGGCAATATGTCTTTTATTGTAATAATTTTTAAAAAATTAAACATTCACCGTATTTTTCGATCACACCTCATGAATGCTTGTTTATAATAGTGAAAATTAAAAACAACCTAATATGTAAAAATAGTAGACTGACTAAATAAGTGATGATACATCTTTCAATAAATACCAGGTCTCCAATTGTCAGGGATATACTGTGACATGGAAAGATATTTAAAAGCTATTGTTTCATTTTCTGAGGCATATTAGAAAACAGAACATACGGTATAATCCCCTTGTTATATTTAAAAAAAGCATAAATAGGTGCATAGAAATAGGAAAAAGGAACTAGAATGTGTTTTAAATTGTTCGCAATGATATTTCTGGGTGATGAAAAAAAACACTTGTCTATATATCTCAATTTGTTACAGTGATCATTTTGAAATGACAGAAAAATAATTTTTAAAGGACTTTTTCTTAAAATGGCATGGTAGGCACATTTTCTTTCTTCTTATTCCCCTCCCTTCTAAGATCCTATTAAAAGGGTAATAAAGGGAAAAAATGGATACATGCCTATAAACAATTCAGATTGGGAGGGGGAGTCTTAAGTAGATGAAAGGTTTCCACAAATGTCTGGCACACAGAAAAAGCAGAAAATAATACAGAGCGAAAGAGAAGGAAAAGAAAGCCTTGGAATAATTTTCTAAAGGATTTGAATAAACTGTCCAAGGAAAACCAGGGCTGTGAGTGTGGATGTTTGCACCCCAAATGAAGTCCTCCTCAGAACCAGCCATTCTCAAAAACATGCTGCAGTCAGCTTTCACACGAAGGGAGAGTCCTATCAGGAAAACAGACCTACATATACTACAGCAGGGAATCCACACCAGCATCTAAAGATTGCCAAGTATGTGATGAAAACCAGCAACAAACACACAGATACATGCATATAAATATAGAACAACCTGGGCTGGAAGAAACATGTAAATCAGGACACAGAAGAGAATTTTGAAGTAAGCACTAGTAGTTCCAGACACATCCAAGAAAAATATTCTATCTATAAAGAAAGGTGTCATGAAAACCAAACAATAATTCTAGAACAAGAAAAACCTTATGGAAATTAAAAACACGATCATTAAAATTAAAAATGCAATAAACATCTAAAAGATAAAGTTAAGTAAATATCCCAGAATTTAGAATAGAAGATAAAGGGGTAGAAAATTTGAGCAAAGAATAGAATACAGGAGAAATCTTGGAGGTACAACATCCAACTAATAGGAGATCCAGAAAGAGAGACTAGAGAAAACAACAGAAAATAACTGGTAAATGTCTCCAAACTGAAAAAGACACAAGTCTTCAGGCTGAAATATTTCATAAAGTAGACACCACAAAGAACAACAACAACAGCAACAACAATACAAAATCCCTCTATACACATAAATGCATCATTGTGTAATTTCAGGAGAAATACTAAATATTTCCAAAGATTAAAAACTGAACACTTACAAAGGAACAAAAATTAGACTAGCAACAGACTTCTCATCAGCAACACTGAATGCTAGAAAACAATGGAGCACTGATTTTAAAATTCTGAGGAAAAGTTATTTTGAAATTAGAATTTTAGGCAGATTACCAACTAAGTGAAAGTAAAGTTAAGCAAACAAGGGCTCAGAAAATTTACCTCTCACATGCCATTCCTCATCATATCTGAGGAAGATACTAACGCATGTACTCCAGCAAAATGAGGATGTAAACCATAAAGGAGGAAAACATGAGATTCAGAAAACAGTGGTGATAACTCAGAAATGGAATAAATCCCAGAATAACAGTGGTACAGCAGAGAAAACATCAGGAATTGGAGCTGAAGGATGGAGGTCCCACGGGGGATGCCTCTGGAAAGGAACTGAAGTCAACACAATGGGCAGTATGATTAACACACTGAATGATTTTAAGGATATGCTGACTGCGTATTATGGCAAAAAGAAAAAAAAGGGGGCCGGCCAAGTGGCGCATTGGTTAAGAGCTGGCTTGGGATGCCAGAGGGCCCCGGTTCGGATCCCACATATGAGGGCCAGTGACACTGCCCTCCACAGCTAAGATGCTGAACAACAGCTCAACCTGGAGCTGGGCTGCCATGAGTCTCTGGCGATGGCATAGGCTGCAGCCCCTGCTGCAGTGGGTTGCCATGGGCTACCGAGTGTAGCCAGCAGCCAGCGTGAGTGGCCAGCAGCCGCCGTGAGCGGCCGTCCAGAAGCCGGCGACTGATCTGCCTAGCCTGGGAAGAGCACAATGATGGTGCCAACTTGGGCCAGTGAAGCAAGGTCGTCCACAACTAGACTGAAGAACAAAAGGACAGCAACTTGTCTGTTCCCCTTCCCCCAATTGTCCAATAAAAATCTTAAGAGAAAAAGGGATATTAAAACGCCAGGATAAGAGAACAAGAAAATCAAGGTCTAAATATGAAGCAAATTAAAATGTGACATGATTTTAAACCACTAATGAAATTTAAGAATATTGACCCATTTGGCCATGATATTAGGCACAATTCTCCCCTAAGTGACACAAGGACCACATCATAATCACAGCAAAAGAAATAGAATCCTAGCCTACTACTTTGCTCTTCAATGAACAACAGCTACATAGTCCTAATAGTGTATATGTGTATTGTTATTTAACTTCTAATAATTGACCAAAAGACAGAGTACAGAGGACATAGCTATAGCTACAAAATAGGATACAAATATTATCTAGCTTGGTGAAGTAAAAGTAAAGCTATAGCTAACCAATATTAGGAAGTAAAAAGAGGGAGATGAAGTAGAAAGAAGGGAAAAAACACTAATATTTTTGTTGCTGTAGTGCGGAAAACAAAATGTAAGTCCCATGATCTTCACTCGGAACTGGCTTAAATGTTAACAAGCTTCAATCGGTTTAGTAAGAAAATCTGAAAGGAGAGCTAACCATTAAATTTGTTAAGTAGATAAGGAAAAGTCTAGAAAATGTTTATATACCAGTTTGGATACATTTTAAGTTAACTCTATACTTATTCTATATCTTGTCATCATAAAGGGGAATTTCTAAGTGTTTGCTAAGAATATAAATTTCCAAGAATATTGAACAGCTTGTCTTTAAAGCTACAGACTGTTGACTTTTAACCTTAAGACAAAAAATAATTTTTAATAGCTCTGAGTATGTGTGTATGTGTGTGAGAGACAGAAACTGTGTTCGTTCACTTAAAATTGTAAACTACAGTTTTCATGGGATTTTGCCTACTCAC